AGGGAATAACAAATTGGATCACGCGGTCGTGCCGTAATTTAAGGTATTTGCACGCAGGGAACTGAGGAAAACCACGAGGACCCTCATAAGGATAGCCGATCTTAGGGGCTGGCTTTTAAACCCGGGATGTCCTGAATACGAAACAGAAGTGGTAACCACTCTACTGGTGCGTTCGGCCCAGACTTCTTAGAGGGTGTGGACTACAGCAGCGTTCAAATTGTGAAGTGTTAAAAATAGAGGACTGAGACAGTAACATATACGGTGACCTATCGACTCATGACCTCGTTACTGAATGTCATGAAAATCCACTATTCAAAAGTCACTGTTGGTTACACGCAGACATTTCGCTGAAAGTTGTTCTTGCTATCAGAAACCGGTCTATAAAGAAGGTGCAGTGATTTCGACTGCATTCGTAGGTAAGGGAGGCTGAAACAAGTGGACGGACGTTTGAAAACGGCATATTTATATAAGGCCAAATGCTACTATTATTATTATTATTATTATTATTATTATTATTATTATTATTATTATTATTATTATTATTATTATTATTATTATTATTATTATTATTATTATTATTATTATTAGTGTTCTGTCTGACGACAGGTCCATATGAACAGGATCCTTCCATCCTTTTCTCGGACTGGGACCTGTTCATATACGTTCTTGGCAGATGATCCAGAAGTGGTTTGCCATTGCCTTCTTCTGTGTGTGACTGGAGTAATTGTTGGGATGCCACGGAGAAACCGGGGAAGCCCCCGGAGGAAAACTCCGTGTTGCCTAGACCACGGCCTTGCCCAACACAAGTTATAAATTCGGGCACCGCCGGGAATCGAACCCGAGACCCCAGGATTACAAGGCCAGCGTTCTAATCGCTAGACCACCGTGGCGTTCAAATGCTACGGTGACAATAAATACCAAGAAATATTTAGAAGGCAAGTTTTGCAGCAGAACGCCTACTTTCCATAATTACTTAATCTCAAACAGTCTATACAGCCGGATCTTTAAAATATTTGAACTTTTATTCAAAACTGGGAGACTATTTTGACCCGCCGGGAATCGATCCACGATCGTCCAGCCCGTAATCACCCACATCTGAGCTTCCCCGGCCAATTCTGTTGACGAGAAGACACGATTGGCAGAAATAAATAACCTAACACTGGCAGTCAGACATTAATCATGACTGAGTAAAGGGGCTTTTTGTTAACAGTGGCTAAAAATATAATACGTAAGGCAGGATTTATAATGTAATCTTCACGGCCGGCAGTTTCTGACCTCGAATTTCTGCCATTAACTGGCGACATTAAAATTAGGTACGACCGTTTCATTTTGCATCGTTCAGAGGCCATTATTATAAGCCGTGATACGAGACAACCGAGAAGCCTAACAGTGGTATACGATTAGAGGTTATATTAGATTACTTGTATAACTCATAAATTTATAGACAACACCCGGTAATAAGTACACACATGTTCTAAAAATTCTACTAATAATTTCTAAACCTTGTCGTATTTCAGTAATCATAGATAATCGTACTGAAGTCCACACGTCTCCGAGGTCATAATTCAAGTATAATCCTTTTAAATTCGTTTCCATCCCCACATTACTGATGTAGTTCAGAAAGCATTGCAAAATAACCTCGGAAATACGTAAATTTTAAAGAGGATTGTACAAGTTCTCATCCGAGTTTTAATAACGTCTGCCCTTAAGAAGGGAAAGTATCCGAAACAAAATTATGTAAATGCTTGAGGGTAAAAGACCAGCCTTCCCGATCTCTGACTGTAGACAGGGTCTGTACCTCTGTCAGTTCTTGTAATGAGCATAAAAGGCGTTAGAAAATACGAAACGTTTGTCATGTGTTATTTGTAACAATACGTGGAACGCACAGATTCGTCCCAATTACTGTTCCTCATAATATTCACAAAAAACAATGGTTTTAAAATATCCCGAAATTCACCATCGCACGCCAATTTAAAAGAACCTACAAGGAGTTTAATTCGCCATCCACTTCCCTTTGACTCGTCTTAATGATATATTCCATCTCCTTCTAGGTATTCCAAGTGGGCGTTTTCCACAAGGTTTCTTTACGAAACGTCAGAGTGCATTTCTTCTTTCCCCACCATAACTACCCAAGTACGCCATTTTAGTCTCCAATATTTTTCACTATTGTAACGATACTACGTGACCTTATGAACCTCGGTTTCACCGAAATAGCACAAAATAAAATTTATCACAGTAATCAGCCCATATAAATCGGAATACCTAACCAACTAGTTTGCTTACGGAACCCGAAGCCCTCCACCGGACCCTGTCCTGGGCCAACAAAATCCATTCTCCTTCAACTCCTATCTCCCATAGATCCCGCCTGAGATTATCCTCCCATCTACGTCTAGGTCTCCCCAGCGGTCTCTTCCCCTCAGGCTTCCCAAATAGTGGACCCAACCAACCAGATGGCTTACCGAACCCGAAGGTTCATCACCGAATTAACCAAAGCCCTCCACCGGACCCTGTCCTGGGCCA